GCCCACAGGCCCTGCCTCTCCGGGGGCGACGGGCGGGGCCGGGGAATCGCCCCCTCGGGTCGCCGCCTCCTGCCAGCTGCCCTCGGCCGCTGGGCACCCCCAGTGCGGGCCCGGCCAGGGACCCGAGGCGGAGCCTAGGCCTCGGCCCCGGCCGGCGTCTCTGCAGACAGGCGACTGTGTCGCTAAGCTCCACGGGCCTTCGTGCCTGAAGGCGGGTGTTTCTCTCCCTCAGGGTGGCAAATTCCATTCGAAGAGTGTTCATCGCAGAGGTCCCCATCATAGGTACTGCCTTTCGCTTGCCTGTGGTCGCAGTCCCTTGGGCTCCTGTCCCCGTCCCTTTCACTGCTTTCCCTCCATTTTCCCTCCCTCTCCAGGCTGCCTTCAGCTCACCTCACCCATGTTTAGCCAGTCCTATATCTTACCAGGTGCTGTCTCAGCTTCACTGTAGTGTCTGTAACGTTTTCTGTGTCCTCATGAGCTGCCTGGCTTTTCTGCACAGAAATGTTTGTCAGTCTGACTTTCTCTCTCTGCAGCCATTGACTGGGTCCAGATAGACGCCAACTCCTCCGTGCTCCATGATGAATTCATTGCACACAGGCTGGGTGAGTGCCAGGCATGGGGAGGAAGATGAAGGTGTGGGACAAGGCAGAGGTCATGGGCAAAATCAGTCCGGAGACACCGAAACACCTTTGTCAGGAGGCTGCTGTTCCTCCACCCATTTTGGCAGGAGGGTTGGTGTTCCCATGGTCTTGCTCAGATGTTCCCCAATTTCCTTCTTCCCACAGGTCTCATCCCACTCACTAGCGATGACATTGTGGATAAGATGCAATATTCCAGAGTGAGTCCAGCAAAATGTTCGGGTGCTTATTTTGATAGTGATGGGTGTCTGCTCTCATGGGAAGCACTACTAATTTCTTGCTGGGAGAGGTTTGGCAGAAAGGTCTTGACGCATGTCTGTCCCAGGACTGCACATGTGACGAATTCTGTCCGGAGTGCTCTGTGGAGTTTACCCTTGACGTCCGCTGCAATGAAGACCAGACTCGTCACGTCACGTCCCGTGATCTCATCTCCAACAACCCCCGGGTCATACCGGTCAGTGCAATCCCTCTGCTTGCCAGTGAATCCTCTCTCTACGTTCCTGTTGAGGCTGGAGTGGTGAACACATGGGATGTAGACAAAACAAGGCCTTTGAGCACGTATCATGTTGCCTAAAGACCCACTTAAAACATAGTGAGAGCACAAAGCAGAATGATCTGCAGAAACAGTAATGTGTGCTAGTGCCCTCCTCTTCACCTTGTTGTCCTTCATATGCTGACCGGTGGCATGTTAAAGCAATATGGCCTTGTTAAAGCCTCACCCGGCACCCTTCATCTCAAACTCCTAGGAGACTTTAGTGTTGCCCTCCATCTTGCTTCAGACACTTGTGGTGTGTGCGCTTGTGCACTGTTGCTGTGTCACTGTGTTCGCTGAGGCTCTGGCAAAGTCAGCCTCTTCAAAGGCTTGGCAGCAGCCCAGAGGCCTGTGGTTTTCTGGTTCTTGACTCTCACTGTGGCAAGGTGTGAGGAGACCAGGCCAGGACACTGCTGCCAAATGGCTCCTGCTTGTTTGCCTTGGGGAGGGTTGGTGGAGCCAAAGCAGAAGAGATGCAAAGGGATTTAACGGAGAATGTTTTAAAATGCTATTGAGGCCACATCTGGATGTCACCACAACCTGGTGGCTGGTGACAGTGTCTACCTGGTTAAAGCCTGGCTGTAGCCCACTCTCTGTTGCCTGCCTTGGCTGAGGTGCTGTGAGTGCTGTGTGTCACCTGCCAGCAGTCATGGGAGTGACAGAACCATGCAGCTGCACTGGGCTGGGCTGGAGCATTTTCCATCCTGGTGGAGAGGGCAGCTCAGGAGGCAGGCAGGAGTGGGATATTGCATGCCAAGCTGCAACTGCCTGAATTGTCCTGATTTCTATTAAATAGAGTGGACTGGATTTGTTGCATTAAGTCACTCTAGAGTGGCTCTTGGCAGTCTCTAACTTTCACAGGCAACTACTATTTGATGTGGAGAGAAAAGCAGATGTTGGCATTAATTTCCTTGCTTTTGTTCTTCTTCTGCAGGTAACATCTCGGAGCAGAGACAATGACCCCAATGACTATGTCGAGCAGGATGGTAAGTGGTATTTCACTGGGAATAAGAGCTGGAGGAGAAAATGAATTTTTCTTTCAGAATCTTGGAACTCATTCTTCCATTACTAGCTGTGTAACTCTAAGGCAGCTGTACAGCTGGCAGTTGAGAGACACCAGCATCACTACATCAGTGGGTTAGCATTTTGTCTTAATGCCACTTAATCCCCAGAGCTGAAGTCCTATGTCAGAGGGTGCTTCTCTCTTTCTTCATGATAGCTCGAAGGCAACAAAGATGTAAAAGGGTGTTCTGTCAGCTGTTTTGGGGGGGCCTGTGCAACTCCTTTTTACTTAGCAGAATGTGTTCTAGCTACTCTGGGGACACAGATGAGCCCCTCTAAGAATCCAGGTGAGCCCTGGCTTCCACTAACATTTTCCTGGGCACTAAAAATTTCTGCCTTTGCCCTGGTGTGATCCTGCATGCTAATTTCTCCTCTGCAGCCTTTTCAAACAGGTGTGTGCTTTTCCACAGACATCCTCATTGTGAAGCTGCGGAAGGGCCAGGAGCTGAGACTGCGAGCCTATGCCAAGAAGGGCTTTGGCAAGGAACACGCCAAGTGGAACCCCACAGCAGGTGTAGCCTTCGAGTATGACCCAGACAATGCGCTGAGGCACACCGTATACCCCAAACCAGAGGAGTGGTAAGTCCTAATGTCTGGAGGTGCTGGAGAAGATTTTTTCCAGCAGGCACCTAAATTTCAGCCCTGGGGATAAATTGGGTCAGTAAGCAATCATGAGTGTGCATGTTGTTTCCCTTTGCACAGACTTTGTTCCTGTGTTAGGGTACCAAAACCAGTCGCTTGATTGCAGCTGCGTGCAAGGCAGATTGGCGTGTGGCCGCTTCTTGTCCTCTTCTCGCATACTATCACTGCTGCTTTACCTCACTTCATGTTCTTTCTCAACTCGTTCCTGTTTTTTCTTCCCTGCACAAGCGATATGTAGGTCAGGGTAAGGTCTGAGGAAGGAATAGGTCCACGCAAGGTGGATGAGGTTGCTACGAGAGCAGAAGGTTAGGTTGCAAGACCGATTTTGCAGCTCTCTTTGTTTGAGGAAGCCCAGTGTGTGGCTCTGATTTCACTTATACATCTCCTCACTCATGGGGCACAAGCTCTGGCAGAAGGGTTTTCCTCTCTGGCCCTTCCCTCTGCTCTGATGTACCATTCTGCACTGGTAGCATGCTGCATTTCCTCTAAAAGTGTCATTTTGGAAAGATGCTGCCCTGCTTTGGCCTGGACTTCACCTAGCAGCACCCTTCTGTGAGTAGATACCTGATCTGCTTCTGGCTCCTCATCCCAGTGACCACCTAGCAGACATCCTGACGTTGAGCATGCTGGAGCCAGTGGCAGAGCGAGGAACCAGGTGCTTTAGCCAAGACAGGTTGAGAGCAGGGACTAGATGGGGTGCTGGATATGCCGCTGTTAACAGCAGGGCAGCAGCCAGAGCTGCACTCAAGGCTGGGGAAACCTCGATACAGGAACAGGATTTGGTGCAGGGACCACAGAAGCCAGGGCTGAGCAAGCAGGAACAAAAGCCTGAGCGGAACTGCAGCTGGAGAGGAGGCTGAGCAGCAGAAGAGGCTCTGTGGATTTTCCTCCTGGTGCCACCAGGCCCTGTGCTGCCAAATTTTACTGCAAATGGCTGCAAGCACGAGCAGGCAGGTAGTGGACTATTGTACCTCCACACTGTCTGCTCCAAGCCTGGGATCCATCACAGAGCGCAGCCTTACGCCATCCCTTGTACAGTTATCCAGGAGTAAACAAGCTTCTCGGCAATGCAGTCAGCCTAGATTTCACACCTCAGCCCGACTGCCAGGGGCTTTCTGCTCAGGAGCTGTCATGGAGATCCTGTGCAGCTAGGTTTGTGCTCAAGAGATTTGAGAAGGCTTTTGTTGCCGAGGGTGGGGATGCAGGTGAATCCATAACATGCACGGAATGGGCTGGGATCTGCCTGCAGCCATCCCAGCCCTGTTTTACGGATGGAAGGAGTGAACTCCGCATGGCTTTGATGGCCTCTGTAGGACGCGTTCGTGAGTCCAGTTCAGTCAGTCTGGGCAGGAACGGGATGTGCCGGGCATTAGGCTCCTTCAGCACTTCATCAGGGCGGTGCTCTGGGATCTGCAGTTAGGAACCAGGCTGGCCGGTCGTGCTGGAAGTGTGGAAATGGGCATTTTCCTTAGCACTGATGATCTGTACATGTGGGACGAAGCTGGACTTCAGGAACTGCCAGCTACAGACCAGGCAGTCTGGGGGAAAGTCTGTGAGGGGCTGGTTGTGATGAGGTGGTGCAGAGTTGAGGAGGGTTGCTCTGCACCACCTCAACTCTGTTGGTCAGGAGCATGTCGCAGGAGTTGGTGTGCCCGCCTGTCCTTTTTCACCAGCAGTTTTAGGGGTGGAACTGGATCATTTTGAAGTTTCCAAATGATTTGTGGCAGATCAATTGCCCCAAAGTTTAGTTGATTGTCTGAGTGATAGATTGAAAGCTTGAGAAGCAAGAATGTCTGTGTGATGTGGAACTTCAAACGGGGATTTGGAATAATTTTAGACTTCATTTTGGTGCTGTAAAAATTATCTGGTTTAATTTCTGTAACGCGAAGTCTTTAACACTGATCAAGAGGCAGACTTGCAATACTGCTTTGAGCTGGACAGACAGATGCCAGGCAGGCTGAGGTATCATTGGGTTTGCTGCCTTTTTGGATGAGGAATGTCACGGTGTGACTTTTGGAGAGTGTAGGCTTTTGGAGGGAGTTGTCTTTGCCACGGAGAAGAGCCCCAGCTGCACAGCTGAGCATGTGTACCTTGGCCATGAGGTGCTTCCCTGCCTGGGTGGCCCAAGGCAGGTGCTAATGGGGATTCTTTTGTTTGGTGGCAGTTGGCTGCATCTTCAGGAATCTGGTATTACACAACAGGCTGGGTATTTGGAAATGTTTTTTAAGAAATTCTTTACAAAGTACATGTAAAAGTTGGAAAAATCCCAAAGGAAGACTAGCATTGGAGCTGCCTATTCCCCAGTGATATGTCTGTCTTTCCAAGTTCATCTGATTCCCTGTGAAGACAATACAGAGACAAAGGCCTCTGCTATCCAAGGCTAGCTATTATTTTTGGTTTGTTTTTTCATGATAGTTGCTTTTTGAGGCTGTTGGCAGAGCACTGGCATGCAGCTGGACTCTGGAAACAACTGTTGTGGTGGTGAAAACCTCTGCCCTGTTTTTTTGGTCATGGGTGGTTCTGCAAGTAATGTGAAGAACCAGCTCCATTAACACTTTATCTGTCAGTGATTTGTTACAGACAGGATTTGTTTGAGAAGTGCAGTTTTATTTAAGGCAGCTGATGACAGGGTGCTAGGATCAGCCTTTATTGAGATCACTGGGGCAGAGGAAGGCTGGCAGGAGACCTTGCTGGGCACAGGATTTTCTGTGCTGGCTTCTTGGATAGCTCAAGGCTTTGGGTGTTCTTACAGGGATTAAGTGCTTCCAAACAGTCTCTGATATGATGCTCTGTAAACCAAGGGATGCAACGGGTAGAAAGGTGTGTTGGCCTAGCTGATGCACGGGTGTTGCGGTGACTTTGGTGGCGGTATGTGTAGAGGAGTAGAGGTGCAGGACACCAGGATGGCGCTCACTGATGCAGCTGGTGTCTGAAGTAGAGTGGATTTTTTTCCTGCTGGGCACGAGCTGACTGAGCCTTCCCATCTCAGCTGTGCTGCACAGACAGTGCTGGAGTGCTCTGGTGTCTTCCTGGCACAGTGAAAAATAGAAAAAAAGATAACTTAAGGTCCATTGCACCATAAACAGCATCCAGGCTCCATAAACAGCATCCCTTCGGGCATCAGCAGCCCTTGGCTGTAAGCACCTGCCAGATGGTGCCAGTGTAGGTGGATGGAGCCATAGTGCCCTGCACAGGGCTCACTGAGTTTGCGCAGAGCGGGGTGGCTGTGTGGCAGATAATGAGGAGCTAGAAGGGCCAACATGGGACTGAGCTTTTTTTTTTCTGACTTGATGTTTGATGACTGCTCCGTTGCCTGCTGGGTGTGAGCCCCAGTGCTCGCTCTCTGGGGCTATACAGTGCTGCAGAGTGCCTTGGTGCTCTGGGGCTGGGCTAGAGAGTGGGCTCTGTGCTAACCTTCCCTGCTTTTTGATTCCAGGCCCAAGAGTGAGTACTCAGAGATTGACGAGGAGGATGCTCAGGCGCCCTATGACCCCAATGGGAAGCCAGAGAGGTACGAAGCTGAATGTGCTGCCACAGCAGGGAAATAGGGGGAACCGGCTGGGTACATCATCATCTTTGTTAATAAAAGAATATCTACCCTGTGCTGAAGTTTGTCAGCCCGGAGAGCTGGTGTTCACTGAAAAGTGGGGCAGAAATTGGAATTAACTGGTGATATGCCCAGCCCTGAAAGGTTTTCCCCTCTGGGAGATACTAGACAGCTCTCCTGAGTTTGTGTTACCAAGTAGGGCAGCACAGCACTTGCTGAAACATGAGGGGGAAATGGCTTAGGGTATTTATTCACCCATGTGGGTCTCTCATGCTGTGATTGCTGGTGGTACCCCCTCTCCTGGGTTGTTTGCACTTCAAAATTGCCTTCAACCAGCCTTACTCCCTGCCTCTGTGCTGCCTCGCAGTGTTGGAGAAAATCTCACAAGTGCTTTTGCAGCCTGTGGAGTTACAAGTGCTGGTGTGATGGTTGTGGAGGGGCAGCACTGGCTCTTTCCTGGTTGGGCAGTGAATGATGCTGATGGTTGGGATTCCCAGCAGATCTCCCTGTGGTGGGTCAGGGTGGGCTCTCTGGGTCCTCTGGTTTTGTACCTCCTTGTAGGACAGACAGTGACTTATCCCTGTGACTTGTAACCTCAGGTTTTATTACAACGTGGAGTCCTGTGGTTCTCTGCGCCCAGAGACCATCGTTCTCTCCGCACTGTCTGGCCTGAAGAAGAAACTGAGCGACCTTCAGACCCAACTGAGCCACGAGATTCAGAGCGATGTCCTCACCATAAACTGAGGTGGCCCCTGGCAAGAGAGTGCTCAGGTGTGAATGATGCAGAAGGTTCCTGCCTCTGTCCGGCAGTGCTCTGGGCTGAGGTCCCTCTTCCCTGGCCCTCCTTCCTAGGAAAAGTCATCATGATATGTAGGGTAAAGCAGGAAGAGAATTGATGAGTGTTTTAGCCTAGGGTTTTGGGCCACATGGTGTTTGGGATTGGGAAGCATGTACTGTGGTAACACAACCCTACCGTGTTTGCATGCCTTACCGTACCTTATTGTGCTGAATAAAACCTTAACCCCTCCATGTTCTGTCATCCCTGAAAGCTCGTCTGGGTCTGCAGGAGAAGATGTCACATCATCTACTTCTCTCCAATAGACATTAACTTAATGAGATGTGCTTTGGAGGGAGCATTGCTCTCTACCACTGATTGCTGCTCTTGACATTGTCTCCTGAGGAGAGCAGAATCCCCTGCAGCAGGCAGCCCGTCATTTCCCCATCCAGAGCTACATTTTAAACAGATGTTTGAGGCTGATCTGGTAAGTGAAATGCTGCAGAAGGTGGTGCTGCTGGGGAGCCCAGATGGGCCAGGCAGGCTTAGCTGTATTTAAAGACTCCTTTGGAACAGATTACCCATATGGAATATAATCTTTATGTTAGGAGCTGGGCTGTCAGGGGGTCTGTCCTTAACAACCCCTGGCTGACAGCTTCCAGTGTGCCCACAGCCCCAGGGGGGTTGTGTGCTGGCCTGGAGCCTGGTGCAGGTCCCAAACCGTGGCCATCATGGCAGTGGCTGAAGGGCTCCAGCAATTGCTTGGGTCACCCCTTCTCCTCCCCTCTGCCAGTGTCCTGCAGGGTTTGGGATGAGCTGCTGGGTGACACTTTACTGGAGAGATCGGCCGCTTCCTTGCCGTGGTGGCTGGAAGGGAGGGGAAAGGCGTCTGTGCTGGTCCCAGTGTGGAGGTGGGCTGTGGGAAGGGCATGAGCAGCCCAAGTCAGTGCTGCCTTCCTCTCTGGGGAGGAGCTGCTGAGCCCTGTCCTCGCGGTGGCACAATCAGGGACATGTCCTGTCCCTGGAGGGAGCGTTTGGTGTGGCTGGCACAGCAGAGATAACTGAACTGGCACAATTCTGGAAGAGCTTGGAGAGGGAGAGGCTTGAAACTTCCATCTGAGGAGTGGGAGTCACCACTGCATTGGCACATCCATCCCTGGTGCTGCGGGAAGCTGGGGGTGAGGGGTGCCAGTGGGGTACTTTTCACTCTGGGTTTCAAAGAATCACAGAATCATGTCGGTTGGAAAGGACCTTGACGCTCTTCCAGTCCAACCATGACCCTCACCCTGACCATTCCCAACTCCACCAGATCCCTCAGTGCTGGGTCAGCCTGACTCTTCAACCCCTCCAGGGATGGAGACTCCCCCCTGCCCTGGGCAGCCCATTCCAACGCCCAACAGCCCCTTCTGCACAGAAATCCTTCCTCAGAGCCAGCCTGACCCTGCCCTGGCATTCCCTCTTGTCCTGGCGCTGGTTCCTTGGTTCAAGAGACTCATCCCCCCTCTCTGCACCCTCCTGTCAGGGAGCTGTAGAGGGCCAGGAGGTCTCCCCTCAGCCTCCTCTTCTCCAGACTAAACCCCCCCAGTTCCTTCAGCCGCTCATCTGATGAAGGGTGACAACTCACTCCACCCTTCTCACCTCCCCAGCAGTTTTAGGGCTTCATTTGTAGTGTCCTGGCTATGGCTGGAGGCAGAATGAAGCTTTGGGCCCAGCATGCTGCTGGGAGCGTTAGGGGAATCTTTTCCCCCCCATCAGCATTTTTCTCTCCAGCAGGCGCTACTCCCACTTGCACTTCCCGAGCACGTTTGGATGGAACAGACAAACAGGAAGGGTGGATAAGGGTTGTTTATTCATTGAGCAACTCCTTAAAAAAAACAAAACCCAAACATTTTTGGTAATAAATGTTAAATCTTTTCCAGGTGAGGTGTGTAGCCAGGAAAAAGAGTGTGGGTTACACCTCACCCAGGGAGGACATGCTGCTGGGCGGTGCTGGGACACCAACGAGCCCCTCGCACCTGGCCACACTGCGGGGAGCAGTCCTCTGCCTCGCCGTCCCCGCAACCTCAGCCACAAGCTACACCAACCCAAGACAAGAGTATTTACAGACCACAGGTTCCCACATCACAACACTCCCTGTCCCCAAAGCATAGACCCGGAGCTTCAAGAGCAGAAATAAAACCACCGACCACCCAACCCAGACTGAAAGAAGACTCCAAAGAAACACCAAGGTTTGCATGGCAATAAAAAGATAGCCCTTCTAAAGGAGGTCAATAAATAGGAGAACTAGAAAAAATCAATTGCTTTTGAGTTCAGCACATGAAGCCCAGCTCCCCCTGGGCAAGGGATTTCACCCAGCTGCACTGGTGGGCGACGCGGGAGTGAGGATGATGGGAATGCACAGAGAAACATGGCTCTCCCCTCATCGGCGTGGCCTTCTCTGCCCAGGGACGACTTATATCCACAAAGCTGCCCCTCAAGGGACAGATGCTACTGGCCAGAACTAGTCCCTGGGTTGCCCACCAGCAGATAAACCAGGGGTATGGCCAGCGGGAGCAGCTGTGGGTGGAGGAGTGAGGGGTGCTGGGGTGGGGGCGGCCTGGGAAAGCTGGGGGGCTCGGCTCTGCCCAGATGCTCACCCCAGCTGACCACCCTGGAGGGAAAAACAGCTTGTCCTGAGACATCTCAGTTTTACAGCGAGTGTTTAAATAGCTTCAAGAAGTGCAAAAATCAGCTCAGAGGTGGTGGGACCTCTCCAGGAGCACCCCACTCTTCACAGAGGGTGTGAGATGCTGGAACCTCACACCTTCAGCCTGGCACAGCTGCATCCTCCAGCGCTCTTCCATCCCTGGGGCAGGGTCATGCTCCAGCCTTCCCCCGCCTCACAGAAAACACACTAAATATCTTGACCTCCCCCTCTCCTCCACCTCCCGGCTGGATCCCCAAGCGTCAAAAACCTCTGAGCATCTCTGCCAAGGGCTCTTCAGTGGCCATGAACTTTGCATTTGTGTGAGAAGGAAAAATCTCTTATAATACGGCTATTCAATATATATTTCAAATCAGTCGAGTCTGAGCCAGCCATCACCTCCACTAACGTCAGGCCAGGGCACAAGCCAGTGCCCGCTCCCCCAGGGTCTTGGCATAGAGGATGCCCCAGCTCGGTCTCCCTGGGGACTTAGAGGGGCGGCTGCCTGCATCCTTGCCACCCCTCAGGGAAGAAAAAGGGGACCCTCAACATGGTCCCCCCCACCAGCTCACGGGGACAATGTGGGGTCCCTGCTTTCAGGCTTGTCGCTTTTGGAGGACTTTGGCTTCAGCAAGATGAACCTGTTGAGAAGGTCGGTGTCCGAGCTGGCCTGGGCGCCTGCGTATGCCTCCCCTGGGGACAAAGCAGGAGGTGGGTGGGTGTGTGTGTAGGGGGGACATTCCCCATGGGCTGGAGGACAGCTGCCCCCTACCCTCAGTGGGGGACAGGGACACTCACCGGCATAGCTGGAGGACTCGGCCATGTTCTGGGAGCCGGTGATGTGGTGCCAGTAGGCACTGCGGGGCAGCATGGTGGTGGGGGTGCAGGGGTAGGAGAAGTGCTCAGTACCCTTGTTCAGCAGCTGTAGTAGATGGGGGGGGGGGGGGGG